TGTGTGTGTGTGTGTGTGTGTGTGTATGTGTGTGTGTGTGTGTGTGTGTGTGTGTGTGATATGTTGGTGTTATATCTTTCACTTAAAACAAAAACTGTCTATCTTCATTTCACGCTGAAAAGCAACAAAATGTGATTATTTTAAAGGGCATGATTCTTTTCTATAGCCACCGTAATAGCAGAAAAAGTGCATGATATTTATAGCATCTGTTGATTGTAGAGAAAAGTACATTTACATGTGTTGGAAATTGTAATAGCAAGTCCAGGCCTTTTCACGTCTTCACAGTTTCACTCCAGACGCTCCAGCTTGCACAGTTAAAAAAAAAAAAAAAAAAAAAAAAAGCAAAAATGTACTTGCACAATTTTACCACTAGATGGTATAATATTTGCAGTGTTTGACGTGATAATAATAGTGTTCAGGTAAATATGACCCATATGACCAAACACACTGCAGCTAAATCAGCAAATCAAAACAAACTCATAATAAACTTCTTTGAAATAAACGTACTATAGCGACCTGCACCTGCCTACTTTATTCACTTCATAAACTGGATGCTTTAGCCAAGCCCTCTGTGCAATGATGCTTAATAAGCGCTTAAAATAAGTGGACGTGGCAACCCTGCAATAGCACGCTCTGCAAATCAACTTTCCGAACATAAACGGAACACAATGGCTCTTTAGTTAAAATCATAAAAAATAGCAGTACCTAGAAGATACGCCGGAACTTTGCAATGGTTACGGCACCAATCATCGCCGTTTCGAGTGAGTTCAGTTACATACACACACGAGATACGGTTGTCACTTGCAGTGTATACGTGGCCTTTGTCTCTGATAATCTTATATTTTTATATACGGTGACTTTTAATAATAATTCTGGAGGCGATGTGGGTAATTTTTCAATGTTAAAATACTTACTGGCAGGTTAATGTGCAGAGACCAGACATTTGTAGTTTGATTCCCTCCAAACCAAAGGCAGTTTCGAGTGAGTTCAGTTACATACACACACGAGATGATCATTTAGATTCACTTCATATTTAAATACGGTTGTCACTTGCAGTGTGTAAGTGGCCTTTGTCTCTGATAATCTTATATTTTTATATATGGTGACTTTTAATAATAATTCTGGAGGCGATGTGGGTAATTTTTCAATGTTAAAATACTTACTGGCAGGTTAATGTGCAGAGACCAGACATTTGTAGTTTGATTCCCTCCAAACCAAAGGCACGACCACTTTAGTGAAACTTACACATACTGTTGTTTTGATCTGACAGTATAATTTAACCATTATACTTCAGTGATACAATACAATAAACTGAAAGTTTAGTTGTTAGGGGGTAGTTTATATTTAACTAAAGTTAATTTACATACAGTTAAATATTTTGGCTACTCATTTTTCTGTTTATTCTCATTCTGGACAAATGAGTTTGATTCCCATTCATGCATTCCATTGGTAGATGCGTTTAAACAAATAAATGTTAAAAAACAATTAGATCAAAATCTTCACAAACATTCTGATGCTATTTGTGCAGGCGTACATTGAATGATGATCATTCGTGTCTTTATGTTTTACATTTATTCATACAACATATGCTTTTATCCAAAGTAAC